CAAACTTGATGTTACCACAAATATAGTGTAGCATGAACACAAATCCTACAGTACTCATTTAAACACACGTATTTATCGATATTAGTCCATAAAATGGTTATACAATTAATACAATATACTTTTATCACGGAGCACTCACTCACCGTAGCCAGTCACCCTCTCGGCTGGCGCGAATCTAAATGACCCTACCGGAACTAGTTCATTATCTGGGTGGAGTGTGCAGGTAGAGTGCAATTAAAGGGACCATACATGAAAATGAGTGTAGCAAGTGGACATACCTTTTTGACCCTGTTACACTCCCCCCTGCTGATTTCCACTTGCTTCAGCAAACACATACACACAAAAAAATGAGTACTAGAACAATGACAAGAGTGAAAACACTGACCACAATATAACATCAGGTACATAACCTCAAGAACCATATACAGTAATAGGAAGAGAGAAGAAAAAAAAAATGTATAAAGTGTTCAAAACTTCATGAAATTGTCAGTTCAATTCAGTGTAAACACTATTCCCCACAGGAATTAAAGTAAAAAAAGGGTGGCCAATCCCCTAGACACTCTCAGACAAACATGCCCATTACATGTTAGCTAAACAATGACAATTCCTACATTTGGACACACAAGTTACTCAGCAGAGAGACTTCACTTCCGTCTCAAATCAATACCCAAAACACACCACTATAAACAATTACAGTATCATTTGCATTAACCAATAGAGCAAAATGTATACCATAGAGAAAAAAAAGAAAGAAAAATATGAGATACCATATAAAACTCAAGCAACATAAATCATGTTTACCCCAGAACTTTTTACTGGTTCATTATCTCAGTCAATCTCGTAACTGGTTTAAACAGTCTACCAGCTCTGGATCTCACACGACTTAGTGAACGTTTAGCAGGAAAGTTATCAACACTTATATTAGACACTGAATTAGCTTCTACAATGCGACCACCATTAGGCATCACAGCACTCAAGGAAACAGGAGCAAATAATTCAACTTGCTCTGCAATGGATTCAGGTACACTCCTGTCCATACCCTCAACATCATCATAACCCTCAGTTCTCAGCTGGGTTATATCAGAGCTGTCAATCACATCATACTCCAATTCGCTTGAAGACAGACTTTTATTCTGTTGACAACATATTAAACAGCGGTGATCAGATTCGCAAATCACCCTCGTGCATGCTCGCAGCCAGTCACCCTCTCGGCTGGCGCGAATCTAAATTACTAACATTTATATAAACAGTTATACAACAACACAATTGAGAAATATGTACCTGTTGACAACATATTAAACAGCGGTGATCAGATTCGCAAATCACCCTCGTGCATGCTCTATAATAAGGTGAACAAACTTGATGTTACCACAAATATAGTGTAGCATGAACACAATTCATACAGTACTCATTTAAACACACGTATTTATCGATATTAGTCCATAAGATGGTTATACAATTAATACAATATACTTTTATCACGGAGCACTCACTCACCGCAGCCAGTCACCCTCTCGGCTGGCGCGAATCTAAATGACCCTACCGGAACTAGTTCATTATCTGGGTGGAGTGTGCAGGTAGAGTGCAATTAAAGGGACCATACATGAAAATGAGTGTAGCAAGTGGAAATACCTTTTTGACCCTGTTACATGTGTATATTTAGTGTTGTGTATTATTTCTGTCACCTTTTTATTGTAAATTTGTTATGGTTATTGGCTTAATTCTACTTCTCTGTGCAGCACTTTGGTCGGCTCTGTCGTTTTTAAATGTGCTATATAAATAAATTAAACTGAAACTAAGTTGCGGTCCATGATGGCAAGAACCCCCTCAACATCTGGCAACACACAGGCTTCCGATGACAGCGGCTCAGATGTGGAGTTAACAGCTGAAGTTTGTCTACACTGGATGTGACAAAGTGAGTGTTAAAAATAATTTTAATACGTCATAAATAGAACGAGGCATCAGTTTACTGTCAGGGATGTCGTGTCGTGTCGCATCCAGTGCAAACAGTCACTGATTATAATGGTTTCTATAGTATTTCATCGCACTGCTCGCGTCCAATGTAAACACGGTACGCCTAGTTATCTATTGTGGTAATTTGCAGGTCATGTCAAAAAGTTGTTGGTTTAATCATTTTCTTCCAAATACGATAATTTTGAGCTTCTGGTACGATACTTGGACATTTCCAATCCGGCAACACTGGTACAATGTGTCACATGACTAAACATGCGTCATCGTTTTCAAAAGCTTCCGTTTTCACAGTCCATACAACAACGTGAAAACAGCATTTTCAAATGTATCCGCTCTGGAAAGCGTTTTAAAAGCTCTGTTTTCCTGGACTCCTTGTTTTAGTGTGGATGGAAGGCCAAAACGAGAGGAACAGATGCGTTTTCAATGGAAACATATTAATGTGGACAAGGCTTGAGTTGCCAAATCTAGCAACAAGTTTACTGCAACACAAACTAAGTGCAACACTGCAGGCTACCCAGGCATTTCAGCTTGCCCCGCTAAATGTCACTAACCCTTCCACTTTCTCGTGGCTTACAGCTATACCAGCCGAAGCAAGCGCAAAGCTGCTTCTGCTTGCAACACATGCCCTCACATCTCAGTATTTCCGTCCCGTGACTTCTAACCCCCTTCTTTTTTCCTTTCAGTGGCCTCCAGCTCCCGTAGCAGACGCTAGCGTGAGGCTACCTCCACTAGCAGTGCAGGCTACACAGGCTCTTCAGGATGTCACAACCCCACCCTGTTCCCATGGCCTACAGCTACGGCAGCTGAAGCAAATGTGAGGCTACCTCCATTTGTAATACAGGCCCACATCTCTTCCGCTCCCTCATGCTACTAATAACCATTTTTCTGTTCAGTGGCCTCCAGCTCCCGTAGCAGATGCTAGTGCGAGCACACTTCCGCTAGTGGTGCAGACCCATCCACAGCAACCTCCTTACCCCACTCCCACTCCCACTCCCACTCCCAACCCCCTCCCCTACCCATGGCCTGCAGCCCCACCGTCCAACCCTAGCATGAGGCTGCCTCCGCTAATGGCGCAGGCCCCTACGCCCACCATTCCCCCTCTCTTCCCCTCCTTTTCTTCCGCTCCCGGAGCCGTCCCAAGCGTGAGCATGACTCCGCTAATGGCGCAGGCCCCGACCCTTGGACCCCCCCCCCCCCCCCGTAGCCAGCAACATCAGGACACAGATTTTGTCAGAAGCCAGAGGCCTTCAAGACCTACATGCAATCAGACCGCTTCCTTATCAACGAAGCTCACCGAACCCTCATCAGCCGACCCCTGTAACAGCCAGCCCATCCCTGTTCACTCGAACTCCTGACCCACCATAGCTAACCCCCTTTAACATCACATAATCCATCTATAACGGCCCATCCCCACTCCAGCCATCCTAACAGCAGCCTTATCTGTATTTCCCCACTGCCGCAGCAGTGTCTGCTCCCGTAGGAGCCTATCTGTATTTCCCCACTTCTGCAGCAGTGACCGCTCCCGCAGGAGCCTTTACTATATTTCCCCACTTCCGCAGCAGTGCCTGCTCCCACAGGAGCCTTTTCTATCTTTTTCGTGCCGAGCTCGGAGCCCTCTCCCTGGACAGCACGCCAAATAAGCATAACCTTTATTTAATTATACGAAAGTGTGAACTCGTGAAGTGATGTTTATAAACATTTCGGGAGGAGCACGCACAGATAATTAACACGGCCAGTTCATCATTAGTGATTACACCATTTATCCAATCAGCGCAAGAGAAAACTCCTATAAATAACCAAGTACATCTTACCTTCGTTATCTCTCGACTTTCAGCATCCCTCCGCCACCCTGACCCTGCACCGTCAGCATAGTTCTACCCCAGCATGGGGAGAAGCGCTTTTGGGCCGACGGGTGGGGGGGGGATGTGAGGCTTCCCTCTCCCTGGACAGCACGCCAAATATGCATAACCTTTATTTAATTATACGAAAGTGTGAACTCGTGAAATCAGGTCATAAATCACCAATCTGACACAAAGTGTATGATACAACTACTTACCATTGACCTTTATTGTGCTGTCATTGCAGTTAGTGCTGTAAATAGTCTGCCAAATTTTATACATCTTTTACACATGAAAGATTTCTACATCATCTGAAAGCTAAATAAATGAAGAAAAAGTTTTCCATTGATGTATGGTTTGTTATGAAAGGACATTATCTGGCCGAGATACAACTATTTGAATTTCTGGAAACCGAGGGTGCAAACTGAGGTTTTGTGGTCCAGGGTCACATAGTTAATGTAGTTCCCTATCGATACTTTACTCATACTGCATCTGCTAAGACGGTATGGAGAAAACTCCTTTTTCTCCGATGATTGAAGTCTTTCAATAACGCAGTGTAACTGCATGGCTGTTGGTTTGTACAGTGAATAAAAAATGAACCAATGTTGTTAATGTGGGGCCCGTTCAGATCGCACCCACACAACCAGCCGATGTTATAGCGAGAAAAAGAAACAAAAACATTTTCAAAAAGAGAGCAAATTTCCTCTTCCACTCATTACGAACATCGGGTCTCCACTGGGCAGCCCACCACTTGAAACGATCCAACCCCTTGCCACGCGGGCCGAGGCCTGGCTGGCCATCCCCGGAGTGTCAGACTGAGTTGTGGGGATAATAAAACAAGGCACTTCAATTCGCTCTAAGACCCTCGCGATTCAGCGGGGCATGGTCCCCAACTCAGTTCGGAGCGAGGATGCACATGTCCTGCGCGCCGAGGTGATGAATTTGCTGGCGAAAGGGGCCGTAGAAACAGTCCCACCAGCCCAGAGCGAGTCAGGCTTCTACAGCCGATACTTCCTCGTCATGGCCTAAGGCCCATCCTCGATCTCAGGCACCTGAATCGCACCCTCATGAGACGGTCGTTCAGGATGATTACACTGAAACAGATCCTCTCGCAAGTATGCCCACGGGACTGGTTATTTTCGCTGGACTTAAAAGATGCCTACTTTCACATCCAGATAGCCCTCAGCATAGGGCTGGATAATAATTAAATATCAATATGTATCGCGATATAATTTTTTTCAATAACGGCGATATAATTTTTAAACACATTTCCGATATTTCGATATACATTACCAGTGTTTCCCATACATTGATTTATTTGTGGCGTTTGACTTCGTTGAATAAACATGAGCACTGCACGTTTCAAAATCAAACCGTGTTGCGGGTGTTTTATATGAATGTATCTCTGAAGGGAACCGACTGTCTTCAGAATAGTTTAGATGGCATTTTTATCTGATAAAGTATCGTTCATGAGCGGAGCTGCTTTGTTTACAGCCATTACTGGAGAAACCGTTAGTTCCACCACTCTCACAGCACCTCCTGGTGGCAGACAATCAGTTTGCATTTTCAGTAATAAACCCATTTCCAGCAGCATGCTTTTGTTGTTGCTCTATTTTTTTTTCTGAAGCAACTGGGAGCATGTTTCATACTCATTATCCTGGTTAATACACGTTTCAATCTATAAGAATAATCAGCCTACACTAACAGTCAAAGGGTTTTGAACTGCAAGATTTTTAATGTTTCTTAAAGAATTATCTTCTGCTCACCAAGCCTGCATTTATTTGATCCAAAATGCAC